TTATAATATATATATATATATATATATATATATATATACACACAATAATTTGTAATTGATGTTTTATTTTTTTTAACAAAGATAGATTTATTTTAGATTATTTTATATAATAGATTATTTCTATAATTTTTTTAATTATATTGAAATGGATATATAAAGTCAATTTTATTTTATCAAATTAAATTATATTAGTAATACGTATTGCGTTTCTAAATATATCTATATATTATATTTATATATTTCTGTTTTTCCAAAGTTATACTCGAGAATGATAACATTTTTTTATAATACAGCTTTCTTATAAAATTTTTTTTTGTGTTATATTCGTGTTACATATGTTTTGATATATTTCGATATATTGCGGAATCGTTTCTTTGATTCCTCATTGATAGTCAAAATTATAAATTGCCAACTTATTATTATCAACATTTGTAATGATTAGAAATTTTATTCTAGAAGTATGCAATTTAAGTATATATTTCTTTTCATAGGAATGAAATGCTATATATTTATCATATATATTATTTTAGTATTTTAATATTATTATAATTAGCAATTTTTCAATAGCTGAATTATATATTTTTTTTTTACTTATTTATTTGATGATTATAGATTCATGGTATACGTAATATAATGATTTTTTAAAATGAAAATGTGTTTGATTATTGTTTTATTTTAATGACTGATTAATTTTATTTGAAAATTTTTATTTTTTTTATATGGATTACTATTAATTTATCTAATTTCAAAGACAGGAAAAATTTCAATATGGATGCCAAAATACTTTTTCAAAAAAAGTTTGATATTTTGTTTGAGTATATATTAATTTTGGGTATATATATTAATTTTGTTTTTATTTGATATTTTTTATTATTTCAAAATTTTTTTATTTTATTTTAATTTTTTTATTTTATAATAAACATTCATCAAATATTAATAATTCTGATAAATAATAATTTTTTTATATATGAAATTTTTGTATTCATCGATAATAATCAATCAATTTGTAGTTTTAAAAAAATAGTAATATTTTTTGAAGTAAATATTCGATTAAAAAAGGATATTATAAAAAAAAGTTTGCTTTTTTTTTTATAAATTTTTTATTTCCATTACTAATACAGTTTTGTGATCACGCAATGTAATCTTTAGATTTATATTATATATCGAAATATAAATTATTATATCTATTCGTCTTATTTGAATAATATATCATTTTCATAATTCATTGAATTCTATAATTATATTTTTTTTTTTTGATCAAATCTTATCAAATAAGAATATTTTCATAACATACATATATGTACATTTTTTTTTGAGGATAAAATGAATAATATCTATGTGACGGTAAATCGCAGAGGGCGTAAAAAATATTCTGTTTTTTCGGTCCATATTTCAGAACGAAATTCAAAAAAAAAAAATAAGACAATAGTGCTATTGAAACAATAGCGCTATTGAAACAATAGCATAATTGTAATTAAATATAACCAACTGTAATAATGACAGTAAAAATATTTTTCTTTTGGGTATAGAAAGTTTCTGAGGTACATATATGTTATTTATTATTTATTATATATCTATATATCTATATATCATGTATATACTATTCTATGTACAAAAATATTTACAATTTTTTGCCAATAATGTGATCCACTTATATATACTTCATTATCAATATTGTTGTACTATTATGATATATATAAAAGTATAATAGTAATAATAATCATATGATAATTGTCCATAAAATAATTATTTCATAAAAATACGAAATAGCTTACATAATTAAAATAAATTAATAAACATAATTACATTTGACACTATTAATACCGTTGATAAAAGCGGTATAGTGAGATAATAAGATTGCTTAGGTATTATTTAATAATAGTTTATATGTTGAATTTTAATAATTGGGACATTTTAGAGGAAATAAGAAAGTCTTATTCAGAATCGTACAAGATGCGCTAGAACTAATTTTTTCTTTGGTAAAAAATTCCCTGACAAATTTCCTTAGCCATAAATTGCAGTTTTATTAAATGCAGTTAGATGAATAGATATCATCGTTTATATTTAAATTTAGGACTTCACTATATCGCTTTCAATGACTATACATGCTTATTAATTTTATTACTATAAGTGACAGTAATATAATGGCATGTTATATTCTTGTACTCATTAATATTTCTGATTCGTTTTCAAAGACTATTAAGTGATCATTTTCAATGAGCAAATTGCCAGTTGATCATCCGGAGCTTTTCCAAAGGGTTTCGAACCATCCGGGGCACAATACCTATTTACTTGATAAGTCAACATTGTTTCGTATCCGAACACGTCTATTCCAAGTTGCTGTTGCATAATGATAATAATAATAAAATTATCTCTTTTTAAATAAAAATTAATAAATTAATAAAGTCAAATATAAAGTTATTAATAAAAATAATAAAAAATATGGCTTTTAAGCTTTATTTTTAGTAAATTTTAATAGAAATTTAAAAATTTTGATAAGAAAAAATTTTAATGATTCTAAAGTGCTTTTTTTTTCTTATATATTAAATTTATTATTACCTGTGTTAATGGACTTGTATTTGTAGTGAAAATACCAGCATATTCTTTCCTTTTAGCCAATTGCAAACAATATTCTTCCATCTCTTTCATCATAATTACATTTTCAGCCGGATTTAAATCACTGCTTGTTGTCATCATGAAATTGTGAATAATCTGACCCTTTCCTTTTGGTAATTTTCGTTCTCTAATAGGCGCCTCTAGATATTCCAAGAATTCGAAAACAATCATCAATTTAGAATCAAGAATTAATTCAGGCTCATCCCAGAGATCAAAATTCAAGCCTACTCCTATTGTTCTATTATCTTGCGACGATTTCACTACAAAACTTAAATTTTTTTCCACTAAAGAATTCCAAAGTATTTCCATCATTATTTGATAATCTTCTCTTGTTATATCTGGCATTAACCACTGTTCTAAATCTGCTTTACTGTAGAAACTTTCTGTAATAATTCTGAAACAATTTTTTTTTCTCATATTTATAATTTATACATATTTTTCAATCTTAATAAATAGATTATTTTAATATCATATTTTAATATCATAATAGAATTATTTTAATATCATAATTTATATTAAAAATGATAATTATTGAAAGTTATTCTTGCCATCAAAAACTGCCATTAAAAGTATTTACAATTCTTCTGAATATTTTTTTTTTATATATCTAATTCAAATTTTTAAAAAATATTTTTAAAATGAATTTTTTACATACTCTATTACATCTTTTTTATGAGAATCATTTAACATTTCAAAGATATGCTCTTCTTCGTTAAGACTATTTTCATAAACCACGTCTTCAGTACTAATCTTCATTCGATCGAGAACTTCGGCCAAATTTTTTGCCGTGATAAATTCTGTAATGCCTATTTCATAACCTTGATCCCGGAGCTTTGTCACAGTGTAAATCGAATTCAAAGAATTCCCGCCAAGCTCGTAAAAATTTGCATTAAGCGTGATGTCTGCACGACCTCCACTACCAATCACGGACGCCACTGTTGGAAACAGAACTTTCGCCTTGGCGAGATCTTTCTCAAGTACATTAGTATAGTCACAATTCATGCACTGCTCGCTTTCTAAATAGAGAAATGTATAAATTAAATATAATAATTTTCAAATTTTATATAAACATATATTGGTATAGTTTATCTTATGATAGATTTTTAGATAATAACGTGAAAAATTGTAAGTTCATTTTGCCTACATTAAAATACTATCGTTGATTATCTAATATAAATTAGAAAAATATATTTTTTTTTATAATTGTTGCAATTATGCGATATTAAATTTAAAGTTACTAATGTATTACCATTATTGACATTAGAAGATTCATAGTATTTCAATAATGCTTGACGATCAGTCTTCCCATTTGTTAAAAGTGGTATATTTTCCACGATGATAACTCGTGGTAACATGTATACAGGTAGCATAGATTGTAGAAACGTTTCTATTTTTGATACGCAAATGGACGAATCTTTTGCAATAGTTATAAAAGCAACTAGACTCTGAAAATCGATATATCATTTTTTTATAATCAATAAATGAAATCTTATAAATTGTAAATTGAAAAAATCAAAATAAAAAAAAATATCAATTTAATAATACCTGTGACAATTCACCGGGTTTATAACAAAGAACAACTACTCCATTTATTTCAGATATCCTAGATATTGCTTTTTCTACTTCCGTAAGATCCACACGATGTCCCCTAACTTTAATTTGCGAATCTACACGTCCTTCGTACATAATCACACCTTTTGATATTTTGGCATAATCACCGGTGCAATAAATCCTTGAATATTCTTTTCAACATACAAATAATTAAGTTATTTTTTTATAGATTTTTAAATTAGTGATTTTTAAATCTTTATTACAAATCTTCCAATAAAAAATAATAAATAAAAATAAGAAATACATTTCTCATTGTTATATATTTTTAGAAAAAATATTTTTAATAAATATTTTATAATATATATTTCTCATTAATTTTAAATAATAAAATATATTCTTCACAATTAATGAGCAGTATATAAAAAAAAAATTATGTACACATTTTTTTAATATAAATATATTAAAAAAAGATTCTAATATTATATATTTATATTAACAGAATTCTCAAGAAATTTTCTTTCTTATCGATAATTATATTTATAATTGTATAAATAGATTTAGTTCATTGTTTCTCTGTTATTTCTTACTTTTATTTGATTAATAACTCGTTATTAATGAAACGAATTTATTGAAAATGATTCATTAAAATGATTCATGATCGTTGATAATATGAAGAAAAAAAATAACAAAAAATTATTATATTTAAATGAATTATTTTCAAATAAAATAAAATCAAAAAAAGTATATTATGTAGTCGGTGAAAAAAATGAATGAGAACATTTGCTAAATTATGTGTTACTGTTAATTAAGTAAAAAAATAATAATTGTTATAAAATAAATTGTTTAAGTGATAGAATATATAAAAAAAATTGGTAATATTTTTACCTAAATCAATCGCATAAGGATTGTCTTGAAATTTGCGGGATTCATTATTGTGAATATAGCCCGTTGCAAGATTTCTGCCGGCAACTATTAATTCTCCAATTTCTCCTTGCGGTACTAGTCGCATTTCTTTGTTGACGATATAAATAATGCAATTGTCTAATGGTTTTCCTGTAATTAGATATTTTATTAGATATTTGTCTTCGAACTTAATTAATAAATAAAATAGACATTAATAAATTTTAAATTTATTATTGTAAATAATTAATTTATTATTGTAAATATTATTGAATATTTTCTGAAAAAAAATTGCAATTTTCCATTTACCAATTGGTACTTTTTCTGCTGACTGTAGTTGCTTCCGATTGGTCAAAAGATGATAGGTAACATCTCCCATGATCTCTGTACTTCCATAAAAATTTGCTAAAATTTTACTGTCATTCTCAAATGTGGTGAAAAATTGATCTGCTAAAGAAATTGGCAATGTCTCTCCAGAGCATACCCAAAGTCTTAACGAACGTAGAATATCATCCTTGTTCTAAACATAATTAATGAATATTGAATTAGTTAAATTTGTTAATTATTGATAATTATTCGACAAATATCGTGATTTAAAAGATATATTGAAAATATGTAAATTATTGAATTGCCTTATTTTAATCGTTAAATGTATGATATACAGTACGAAAATAAATTGAAAGAGTAGTATAATTATACTATTTTCTTTAATGTTTAAATCTGAAGCAAATATTATTTGCCATTTACATTTGGATATAAATGAAATATTTATTTTCTGTTTCATTGAAATACAATAAATATCAAAAATGACTATATATATTTTATTTCTTTTATTTTTATTCTTTAGATGAAAATAAAATTTTTCATATTTTATTTAATATATTGTTTATAAAAATATTAAAATTAAAAACTTATTATTCAAATTATTATTATTATTATTATTTCAATGAAATATAATTAAAAATAAGTTAATGTTAAAAAATATATATTTGAAATATTATTATAAAGAGAAATTTATTTACAAAATCCTATGAATCATTTGAATAAAATTATTTAAATAAAAATATTTATTTATTTTAAAAATCTATTTTTTTACATATTCATATATATGTATATAATTTTATTTGATTATTAGATATAAAAATTTTAATTAATTTGTATTTTATGAGATAAAGATTTTTTTTTAATATAAACAAATTCTTTTCTTTATATATTAATTATATAATTAATTCTTTTATATTATTACACAGTTAATCCTTTTATCATATAAAATATGAAATGTAATTTATATTACATATTTTATATTTAATTTTATTTTTCTAATTTGCATTTTATATTTTTTACATGTCAAAGACGATCAATGCTTTTTACACATAAAAATGTAAAAATAAAATTGAACTGTTAAAAAATTAAATAATTCAATCGCAATTCGTGTCATGTAGACTGTATACATATTAAAATGATCAATATTAATATTTTACTGAATTAACTGAATTATTTAACTCAATTAAAAGTAAAAAGAAATAAATTTTGAATAAATTCAAAAATATATTATAAAAATATAAATTTTAAATTAAATGTAAATCACATGATTTTATGAAATATATGAATTAGAAATGGTTGGAAATTTGATTTTTAGATTAATGAAACTTGGAATTCGAAATTCTCGAAATTTTCAAAATTTTCGAAACTCTCGAAATTTAAAATATTTCTTTTTATTCCATTTCATTTATTTTAAAGAGAAAATAAGTATTTACCTATTTTTTGTTAGATATTATTAAAATCTAATAAATTTTCAAACTCATGAAAGTTTCTTAGTTAATTAATAGTAACTAATAATATTATATTAATATAATATAAATAATATTTATTTTATTTTTTTTTTATATAAATTATTTTAATGAATTAATAAAATCATAATTACATATATAATAATGTTAATCTAAAATTTATTATTTATCCAAGTTTCAATATCAAATAGTTTTGAGATTTGAAAATTCAAGATTAATTCATATTTATAGAAATAATTACATAGATAAAATATCAAATTTAAATAAATTATTAATTTAATTATTTTTTAATATAATTAATTTTTATGTTTTTTTTTTCTGTTATCTTATTATTTTCTTCATAATAATGGAAATAAGAAACCTGTGTGAATTTCGAAGTAACGTGGAAAATGCTTCCATTGTGAATAAATCTGATATATAAAGATTGCACTTATTGAAAGGGACGTATGTTATATCTGATATATTAATCTTTTTTGAAGGTGCTTAGAAATAGTCTGAGCATAAAAAATCATAAGAAAAAAAATATAAGAGATAAAAACTTGAGATAAAAATAAGAATGTAAGTGGATTTACATGTTTAATCGAAGCGTCTAAGTGAAATGATATGATCTAAGATCCGTTGATGTGTTGTAATAATTGGTATATTGCTTACTTGTAAACTGAGATACATTAACATGGAGTGCAATAAGGATGGGACCAATACCAATCGCTGAATCTGAAATTATTTTATATGTATTAAATAATAAAATTTTATAATTAAAAAAAGTTTTACAGAAACATTATAGAAATAATATAAAAATATAAAATAATATATATATAAAAATTATATTATTATACAATATAGAATAATATTATTTTTATTGTTATTATTGTTATTATTAATAAAATCATAAAATAATATATATTAATAATATAAAATATATAAATTTCTATAAATATTATTAAAAAATTTTTTTTAAAGTAAATTGAAGTTAGAAATCATAAAAAATAAAATTTCTGAAATTATCTGAAATTATTATTCAAAATTATTAAGAAATTATTAGAAACTATGTTGAAATTATTAAAAAATATCTTAAAAAATAAAATTTTGTAATTAATAAAAAATAAATATCATACTTAATGTACAAATATTATTTTTCTAATCTTATAGAAATCTTTATAATAATAATAATGTTAATAAAATCAAAAATTAGAATTACAAAATTTTTTGTAATTAAATATGTTATCTTTATTTTTTTCTTTTAATTTTTTTTTTTTCATTTTTTGTTGTTTTTTATTCTTGTTTAAAATTCTTTTTTTTCTTTTATATGAATTTCTTTCTTTTATTTCTTTTTTTTCTAAATAAAAAATTTGCAAAAAATCTATTTTTAAATATATGTAACTTCCTACCTTATGTTCTTCCAGTACAGACACAAATCTCTCTGGATCTTTGGTAACATGTTTGGGAACAACCACCAGTGTACGTCCTTGCAACAAAGGTCCCCAAATTTCAGATACACTATCCACAAATGTCAAAGATGTCTTAAAAATGCAATTTTTTTCGTCCTTTGCATAAGGTAATTCCTGCCATTGCCATTCCAATCGATTCAATATAGTTGCGTGTGGTAGAAGTACTCCTATCATTAAGAAAAGATTAAGAAAATTTAATATTTTAAAACGATAAAAATAATTATTTTAAAAAACTATAACATACAAAAAAGAATAACGAAGAATAAGCAACAAAGTAACAAAATGGAAGAAAAAGTAAATAATTTGAATAATAATAATGTCTTGCAATTTGATCATAATGAATGGTTTTTGGATAATTAAGATTAGAAATTGAGACAAATATAAAAGTTGACAAAAATATGGATTAAATTACAAACAATTTAATTTTGCATTGCATAAAGCAAGATAATGTTATCAGTCCATGAAATTAATTATTATTACCTTTAGGTATGCCTGTGCTTCCAGAAGTATATAAAACAATGGCGGTGTTTTCAGGATTTTCTTCAATTTTCAAATTTTCTTTTTCTTCATTTTTAGATTGCTTTAACAATTGTTCATAGGTGATCGTGTTTGTTCCTTCATAAAGTGATAAATCCGCTGAAAAATAATATTTTTTAGAAGCTTAAAATATATTTATATACTAACATCCTTGTTGAACTTGTAATGTAATGTTTAAGATTTTCAAGGAAAATCTAACTGAAAAAAAATTAATGTGGAATCTTGTAATAAATGACAAATGAAATAAATAAATAAATTATATTTTAATATTGAAAATTTAATAAAATTATTCAATTGTCGATCTTAGTGTTTTAAACATTTTTTGATATATATAAAATACTAAATTTGAGTACTTAAGAGTTAAAAAAATAAAAAATTTTAAATCAATGATAGATTCTTTTTATATCAAAACTTGATTTGTAATATAAAAATTCAATTTAATAATTCATAATAAAAATTTATTTAATTTAAAATGAGATTGAAAAATTGATTTTCTTATTTTTACAGTAACATTACGGTTGTGCCTGATCTATACATGGTTTTAATTGGCAGAATATTGATTTATCTTATATATATATCTCTCAACATTTAAATCGAAGGATTTTAGAAATAGTTTAATTAATGCGACTATGAAGTACAATTTACAACGTGCAGTAAATAAACGAGTCATGTTCAGGAAGTTTTTCAGACATGAATCGAAAGGGATCGATTCGTTCTCTCGACCTTAAAGATCCAATACGATCTGCATAGGCGACAAGGTTCTTCCGTTTACTGCTTGAAGGAAAAATCGTTTCAAAGTATATTATAAACGGATCTACATATTTTCCTTTTTTCCTCTTCGTCTGTCTTTTTTTCTCTTTTTTTTATCCGGATATTTTCATGATTTGCATTTCTAAGAATACGTTGCAGGTGAGAATGAGATTTATATATAATTTCTTATAAGAAATAAAATTTTGTTTTCGATATAAAAAATGCACTAATTTAAATTTTACTTCGAACTTAAAATTAGATTGAATTTGTTCGACAAGTTCTATTTCAAATTTGATTTCGAATATGTTCTTGTTAAATATATTATTATATGTAAATAATTGAATCATAATTGTTAAAAGATTTTTAACAATTTTACAGATTATATTCATTGTTAATATTTCAAAAAATATTTATATACATACCCTTGCTTTCCAAGTTTTTTTTCTATATTGGTTCTATACTGTCTAACTATGGAGGAAGACATTAACTGCAAAAAAATGTAAAACGAATTTTTTTGTATTTTTTATATCTAGATAGTTTTTATATCTTAGTTTGA